GTTTTCTCGATGGTTGTTGTGTCAATTATTGTATACGTGTGTTTTTTCTATGTTGCTCTAATTGTTTTTTTGAGAGCATAATTTAAGTTTAAATGAAAAATCCTATAATAATAATAATAATTGATCTAAAAACATTTTTTCATACTAATATTTGATTCAATGAGAGCAAGTCAACATAGAATAAATAATATCGATCTAATAACTTTACAATGATAAATAACAATAGAATATAATGCGAACGATAATGTATTGCAGTTGAAAAATGGCTATAGATTTCTATGAAGCTGAAATGTACTGCTTTTCATCAAAAAGCGACGTTATCGTAAAGAAAAATCACCGAAAGTTTTTCGATTCTATATATCAGAGATATTTCCATCAACAACCATTCTTTTCATTTTCTTTTTGAATATATGTCACGTGTATTTCTTTATCAGAATACAAATGATGTTTTCTATGCTAGCCATTATATATCCTAATGGAATGTAACAGTTATATTATGGTAAGCATTTGGCAGAATGAATTATTTCACAGAAATACCGTATACATCGGCTAACAATGAATCTAGGTTGAGGAAGTATGATTGGCACCACTCGCATAAAAACTCGTCAACGAACAGCATTTCTCAATTTCTTTACAGTTATGAATATATTGTCTCGATCAGCACAGAAGGTATGGTGTTAGATTGTCTATATTTTACATTTTTAAATTAGATGTATCAGTGCCAGTTCCGAACTGAGTTTACTTTTTTTCCATTTATATTAGAAAATATTGGATGATTTTTGCTTTGGATATCAAGAAACGTATACTGGTAATGAATGCTTTGATTACCTGTACAAGTCAAAAGGATTCGTACCAGCTGGAGATGTATTAGATCAAGCTTTCAGAAAGATGAAAATTCAAATTCTGTCATAATGCTTAATGAAGTAGAGTTTCTACGTTTTACCTGCTCTTTCGCCTATTTTTATATGCAATTGATTTACACCGTACTGTTCCAAAGACGACATTTGATAAAGCTATAGCTATGTTTCGGTATGATAATGGCTACATTGCAAATGGGATTAGATATCAATGGCAGAAGGATTCTAGCAGGTTTAACATTTTTAAACCCAACATCGTCATAGAAAATAAGCTAGCTAACAACAAGAAATACTATCTTAATAGATTTGTTGCGAAAAGATCTTGGATAATGTGACGGATTCCATCATCCATCGTCACTGTTCATATCGGTCATAGGGTCATTTTCCGGCCACTTTATACATCGATCATGCCCTTTTCACTCGCTGTAGCTATATATATTTATGCCTGTGTATTATATCAGTCGATCAATAAACTTACGGACATGATTGCCCGTTACAGATAGATACCCAGTTAACTCCAATGAATATTATTTATTTCGTTCATTCTATCAGTGAATTATTTTTTATGATCATTTTAAGTTAACAAAATACTGTTGAAAATGAATCAGTTATTTATATGATATTATTACATCTATCGAATGGTAGTATTTCGAACATGAAACTATTTTTAACAGACCCATTTATTAACTTATTATCCGTATATAATGTATTTTACTTGCTGATAGATTTTATATTAATATAGAAGATATCATCATTTATAGAACAAATAATGATTATAAATTAGTAGTTCTTTGTTATTTTTATTTGAAATGATCTATATTGTAATCAACAAAATTTCTCACTCAGAATCCTTTTTTCAAATATTAGAAATGTTTTAAATGAAGATATCGATGTTCGACTTTTGATTGATATTTCAACATACATAAATTTGTAGAAAAGATAGCAGTAAAAAACCTCCCATTAAGACATTTCTCATATCGAAAATCAATTATTAGCAAGAAACTTCAATACAGATTTCTATTCTGATAAAGAAAACATAAGTCATCGACAGTCAATGACATAGTCAGGCTTAGACCATTGAGTAATTGACCAATACTAAAACATCTTGATATGTGTGTGCTCGAAGACTTAAGTAATGCTATTTCAATAAATCATTTCCTTTAGTGATTTAGTCAAGTGATCGAGAAGTTCCACTTTTCTGCGAAGCATTAGTTTTTATGATGGAAATAGGCTTTAAAAAACTGAAGCCCAAAAAATTTTATCAATAAATGGCCATAACTCAAAACTTCCTGGCTACGCCACTAGTCATCAACTTTAGATGACCCTAACAAGCCATAAGGTATGTGCCTTTACTTTGATTTCAAGTTATTAAAAATATGTCTTCTTATTTAGCAAAGATCAAAATCTTCTTTTATGTTGACACGTATTAAAGTAGTCTGTATAATAGCAAACTACTTTAGGAACAATACACCGATTCAGACACTACTAGTAATTAAAAATTTAATTCCTATTCTTCTGCTGTCGCACAATCAATATTATATATATTTACTGGAAATGATTTCAATTGGCTGCGATCCGTTCTCTGGCAAACGAAGGTATATAAGTCATTACATTCGTTAACCATTCTTTCCTCTATACACCTGTGATGTAAAACACAATTATTTACTATTGGTTTACAATGACTCATCTTGACGTTTTACTATTTTATTCTATTATTTAAAAAAATAATTTCAGTTTCAGATCTAAATAAATCTGCATGATTTTGTGATAATGAGTAATCGATCATCAAAACGTATTTTCGATGAAATATCATTAAGTGCTAATGAAATAGTAGAAAATAATCTAGCTGTCAAAATTTTTAAAAATATGACAGATACTACAAAGTAAGCAATGATGACATTTAATCATATTAAAAAGATATTCGATCATATTTTAGATCAAGTTTTCAAGATCTTTGCGAAGATATTCTTCTTGAAATATTTCAATATCTCCGTTCAATCGATCTTCTCTATTCATTTAATAATCTCTATTCTCTTCTCGATACTCTTCTTGAACCCTATACACATACACTTGATTGTCGTCTTATGAGCAAATCTTATTTTCAATGTTTATCTCAATCATTATTACCAAATTTAACAAATAACTTACGTGTACTTCGTTTAAGTAATACCTATACATTTTCACAAATTAGTGAATTAATTTATAAATTCGACTGGTCTCAAATCAATCAAATTGAATCATTAACATTTGATTCGATAAAATTCGATGAATTATCCAGATATTTTCTTAATATTCACCCATTACTTGAACATCTCTGGCGTTTATCACTAACATTCGACGAAGATGATAAATTCTCCAAGCAACTACTTATCAATCATATATTCATTTCTCAATCGCAATCATTAATTAATTGTTTCATTACTGGTATAACCTTTAATCTAACTGAATATATTCTACCAGAAAAAATCAATAAAAATCTTCGTGAATTAACTTTAACTTTATCGACTACTACTGATCTGATAATTCTCTTTCAAATTCTTCCACATTTAGAAATCCTTACATGTACAATCATTAATAGTACATATACTGAAAATATTGATCAAATTCAATCATTGGAACTTTTAACAATCTTAACATTAACTATTAATCAACCAATTGAATTTAAAATTTTACAAAACATATTAACACCACATATAAAATTAAAACGATTATCATTAAGAGCAACTTTACTTGATAAGGTGAGATTTTAAACTGATATTTATTTATCAAAAGATTTCAATTTAGAATGCAAAACAAGAAATTGGTGGATTAGAATTAGAAAAACTCTTTCGAGTATTTTCACAATTAAATGAATTACATTTTTATTTACGTTGTTCACAATCTATTGGTAATCACATAACAACTTATCAACCTGTTGATTTATATTTATATTCATTTACATCTCATTTTTGGCTTGATCAATCAATTAAAGTATTTACACATTTTATTCCTGAAACAAAACAACGATATATTTACACATTACCATTCGCTTACGATACATTTTATTTCGATTATGATATACAATCATCTTTTCTTGCACCTTATCCATATTGTTATAAAAATGTTCGTCATCTGATTCTTTCCTCAATAACTCATCTCAATGAATTAACTTATTCGGAAATAATTTTAAAATTTTTTCCAAATATTAAAACAATTACATTGGTTAATATACGTCTTTTATGCAGAACAACCAATATTTTACATAGATATCAATGGATTCGTCAAAGGTAACTTTTTAGTCTGGCGAGGGAACCACCCGAGATGTCAAAAAGCTTTTGAGTTGAAATTTTGCCCACACGTAAGAGATGCATGCACTAGAGAAAATCTAGAAGGATATGTGCCCAAGTTGGTGTTTACCTGAGATATCGACTATTTATTGTATTAGTCCTGCAGGGCCCTATCTATCCGACAAAATCAGAATTTCCAATTTAGGCCTGAAGCATTGTCCACACTAAGACCTCAATTAGACAAGCTTGCTTACCAAATTTCAGACAGCTTATCTCCGAGATATGGATCTATCAAAATATTCATGTGAAACCTAATATCCATAAGAAAGCGTCTTTATACTAACATACTTGTATTTCGGAGACAGTCTTTCAGAAATTTTGTGAGTAAACTTGCCTGATTGAGGTCTTAGTGTGGACAGCGCTTCAGGTCTAAACTGGAAACTTTGATTTTACCGCATAGATAGGACCCTGTAGGACTGATACAATAAATAGTCGATATCTCAGGCAAACACCAACTTAGACACATATCCTTTTAAACTTGTTCTAGTTCATGCATCCCCTACTTGTGGGCAAAATTTCAGCTCAAAAGCTTTTTGACATGTCGGGTGATTCCCTCGTGGTATTAATAGGTTACCTTATTTTTTTTCTTTTAATAGAATTCAATTGAATGTACCTGTAAATGATCGTATATATATTCTCAATAGTCAAAAATCAAGACAGTTGTATTGCCAAACATTGAATACCACCAATAGAGATCAGGGAGTCAATAGTAAACATATTCGACAATTAACAATTTATGAAATAACTAGAGAACAAATAATTAATCTTAGTAAATTTTTTCCATCAATTCATGTTCTAACATTTTATGTTAATGCATCAGTATGGTTTTATTCATCAACTGATTGGTTAGATTATTTATTAACTAGTATGGTTTCATTGTTTAGTTTAACTATTTATTATCCGAAAGATATGATAATTAAAAATTTCTATCAATTACTTGTTAATTCATTAATTACGATAAAAAAACATTTTTATATTAAATGTTGCGATGGAATATTGAATATTTGGTTTTGATAGAAATAATTACTTTTCTCATTGTATTTTTATTCAACGTAAAATCGAGATTGTAAAATAAAATGTTTTATGAATAGAAGATGAAGGATTTTTGTAAATCTGAATTTTATAGATCAAAGAATAATAAGTGAAATGAATAAATGATGAAGTCATAATGTCCATGTTAAATGGTATAATTACATTTTTTTGCTTCCTGACATTAGATGTATTTCATTTTATGCTATGATAACTACATTTCCTGTTCATAGAATGGATTTATTGAACTTAAAAAGTTCTTTTTTTAAAGATATTCTATTAATTTAAACAGAATAACCTTCATAGTGCATATTCTCGAAAGTCAATTTGAATGATTAATGCCGTTTGTTACTTTCTGTCACATTCACTTCAAATAATTACTTTGATCTTTGCAAGAATAAAAATGACTACATATTCAATGAACTATATTACATAACTCTTTTGGAACATTTATCGTTTCCCATAGGTCATTCTCTTAATTATGTTTCAGTAAATCATAATAATAAAGAAAATGTGTGTGTGTCTATATGCTTATTTTTAATTTTAATACTCTATTGCTTGAAACAAAACCAAGTTATCTTTATTTATAGATATAACAAGACAAAAGAAAAAAGAATCGTTATACAAGTGATACATCGGGTGAAACACGCGACGTATTTATTCGTTTAGGTACTTCATATGTTGATGATGCTATAGATTCTCGAGTTCGAAATTCATGTATATGATATTGTTCCACTAGTTGATTAACAGCAATAATTGTTGTATCACTTGGTAGAGGATTTTCAGATGCATCTGAACTACCAGAATAACCTTCATCATCACGTGTTGGACTTGATGATGCTGATTTTTGTACTAAATATATCGCTGCACTTATTGGTGATGGTGATAATTCATGATCATCGTGCACTTTTAATTTAGATAACGTCGAAATTGCATCATATTCTATAATACAAAAAGAAGAGAAATTTATGATGTAATGTAAAAGTTGCAGAAGAGATTATTTCTTTTTCTAGTTCAATGAATTGAAATGCACTACTTACTATTATGAACATTGTCATCACTGTGGGATAAAGATGATGAAGATAATGATGACTTCTAAAAAGAATCATATAGTAGAAGAAAAAAACTGAACAAAGAATTTCAATGAAGGACAAACTTGTTTATTATGCTGCAGTTTATTATATCTTCGTTTTCGAATAATCATTGCTGCACAGATAATAAAAATAAGAATTATAAAAATTCCTAAACCAATAGGTATTATAATCATCCATTGTGATTGTAGAAATGCATAAATAAATATTTCAGTATGATTTGTCGTTAATTCAAGTAGAAAAGTATCTTCATAATTATATTTTTGATTTAATTGAATATAAAATAAATATTTTCCTTGAACAGGTAATGATAATTTTACAAGTGTACAGTTTGATAATAATTGAAAATAATCATAAATCATCGTTTGATAATGACAATACGTTGAATTAAATAAATCAATTGATGAAAATTCTTTTCGATTCATTTTCAATTTTTTCTGTATTAAAAATGGTATATGACCAGCTTCATCAAGTATTCGTATAATCAATTGCGTTTTTATTTCTTTATTATATTGATCAATTGCTTTAAGATTTAATTTATAAATACTTCGTTCTTCTCGATTAAATATTGTTGATGTATATAAATCACCTAGTTGTGAATCAATATAAAAATTTTCTTGATCATCTATTGAATAAAACATATTTTGACAAAATTCATTTGTTATTTTATTTAATATTAATGTTCGATTAGATAGATTTTCTTTGATATCTAAGATAAAATTTGTTTGATTAAAATAACAAAGATTTTCATTTGGCTTTAAATGAAATTCATATGAACGATTTGTCCATAATGCTGGTTGATCATTATCACATGAATTCAATGATAAATAATAATAATCTTGTTGAATTAATTGTGAATTATTTTTCGTTGATAAAATATAGATTGATTCAGTTATGAGACCATTTTTAATTTGACGAACAAATTGTATTTGAAAATGTTCGGTATCATTAATAGATAAACTTAAATTTGTTGTTGATTCATCAAGATCTTTAAGATTTATTGTTGCTAATAGTGTTGAATTTGCATTTAAATCATATTTTATTAAATTTCCTTCGAATAAAACTGAAGGATAAAACATTAGATTTATATCTGGTGAATTATCATTTGTATTTAAAACATGAATATTTATTTCACTAAAACAAGGAGCAATTGTGGATGATATTCGTGCTTCAATTGTTAATTTATACATTGTAATAGTTTCATAATCCAACGAATTCAAAAGAACTAATTCTCCAGTTGAAGAATTTAAATAAAAAGTTTTACTTGTATCACCATAGAGTTCATATTGAATTGATAGTGATGATGATGATGACGATGATGCAGCTTTAACGAAACCAATTGTAGTATTTATGGGTGCGGATTCGGATATATTAAAATCATAAGAATTATGTTCAAAAGAAAGAAATGCTGCATTGGTTAAACAAATTAATAATAATAAACGTAAGAGTATCATCTAAAAATGAATAGAATTGATTAGCACCATCTCTACTCTTGCGTCGAATTAATAGTGAGATGAATCTTGTTTTTTTTATGCTTGCCGAAC